ATTTCAGGACTTAGCTCATATTAAACCATTTCTCAACCCTAGATTCCATAGAGGCGATTTTGTGAGAGCATTTTCTTCCCAAATTCATTGGTATGCAACTCTAATTCATTTTTCATCAATTCTCATTACTTTTTCATGATTTTTCCATCAAATCTATGAATTTCAAGGTAGAAATTTGGGGTTTTGGGTAGAATTTAGGAATTTTGTAAAATTGAAATTTTGATCTTGAATTGAGGTCACATTTCGAAACAAACTACATAATCGAGATTTTGTCCCAATCTCGAATTTGACTACGTGGGCTCGAGGTTGACTTTTGTTGACTTTTTCAATTTAGTTAAAGATTGAATATTTTTCATTCATGGGTAATTTGTAAAGCTTATTTTGGATTGTTTGAATGATAATTGTCTAGATTCGTGTGTTTGGAGGCTTGTTCTAAAGAAAAAGTCGTGATTGATTGTTGATTTCATTCTTGAAAGAGGTAAGTATCGTGGTTAACCTTGACTCGAGGGAATTAGTACTTGATTGGTCTATTTGCTACTTGGTTTACGTGTGAGATGATGTATATGCAAGGTGACGGGTGTATATGCATTTTCAGGGGTTACGCATGCGGGGCGGGCTACTTAATTGCATGTTTTCATTTAGACTATGCTTTCTTTTACTCCATGTTATTATTCGCTCAGTGATTTAATTGCTACTTTCCCTTGCTTGTTAAATTCATGCTTTCCTTCGTTACATGCCTCAAATTGCTATATGTTTCCATGTATCCATGTCTTCTTTTGTTGACCACCCTTACTTGCCTTATACTTTTATATGTTGTTAGTTAGCCACTTTTACTTGTTTTGTGACTTTATATGTTTAATTGCCGTACTTGCTTCTATTTCACTCTATTGTGAATATTGAACTATATTAGAACTTCATTTGTTTAGTTCCCTTTTTGTGTTCGTTGTGAGATACGATGTAGTTGGTTGTAGTATTATAGAAATATGTTATGTATGAGATTGAGTTGCACGTCGCAACGGATATTGATATGATATTTGGAATCGGATTGCACGCCGCAACGGATATTGATATGTTATTTGGGATTGGTTTGCACGCAAATTTAACAGGAATAGAATCAATGAAAGCCAATAGCTCATAACACAGTAATAACAACAGGGGATCTCCCAAGATACCGTCTCGTAGTCCGATATGTAAATGTGCAGGGGATCTCCCGGAATACCGTTCCGTAGTCCCTAAGTAAATATGCAGAACAGGGGGATCCCCCGGAATACCGTTCGGTAGTCCCAAAGCAAACATGCAACTCAACCAATAGAAATAACAGTTACAACAAGAAAACCTACTGTTTAGACTAAGTTCAAGCCAAGGAAAGTAGGTGATTTCACTAAACATGCTGCACAGGGTTCAAATAGGCAGTTAAAACACGTAGGCATGTTATTCTAGCTAAATAGGAAAGTTACATATGCTAGTGTAGTTCAAATAAAAAGAAACAGTTTATGACTTAGTGAAAAATGGGATTTTACAACAAATAGCCCGTGTACGTACTCGTCACCTCACGTACACGACGCTCACATATCAAAACAATATCAAATCCTAAGGGGAGTTCCGCCACACAAGGTTAGGCAAGCCACTTACCTCGAACCAAGATCAATCAATCCGAAACAATGCTCTTTCCACGAATATCCGACTTCGAATGGCTCAAATCTAGCCAAAACCAATTACATAACGTAAATATAGCTACAAGAAACTAGTCTAGCTAACGAAATCAAAGCTAAGGCAAGAAATTAGAAAAATACCCAAAAAGCCTCCCCGAAGCCACGTCTCGGAATCGGGTAAAAGTTACCAAATATGAGCACCCATTCACTCACGAGATCACTCGTACCAAAATTATCCAAATTCGATGTCTAAATCACACTTAAAACTCAGAAATTCGATTGGGGAACTTTTTCCCCATTTTCTCAACTTTCTCACTCAAATTCTTTAATTAAATGAAGAAAACAACAATAGATTAATGAAATATAACCAAAATTGAGTAAGGAGTCGTTATCCCAACGCTCTCTCTGAATATCCCTCAAAGAATCGCCAATTTCCGACCTCCCAAGTCCAAAAATGGTGAAATGAATCAAACCTTCGATTTTTCCCCTTTTCTGCCAGCAACTCGCTTCTGCGGACCCCCAACCGCACCTGCGAAAATACCATTGCAGGTGCGGAAATCACTTAAGTCCTCAAGTCTCGCTTCTGCAAGCAATGGGCTGTACCTGCGCGCTGCTTCTGCAGAACTCCTCCGCTCCTACGGTCCTTCGCCGCATTTGTGGTTCCTCCCTCGCATCTGCGGAACTAACCTCGCAATTGCGATCCCAGCCTGGGTTGCTCAAATACTCTTCTGCACTCCAAGTCCCGCTTCTGCGGGCTCGCACCTGCGGTGACCACTCCGCAGGCGCGATTACACAAGCACCAGAAATCTTTAGCAAGTTGCATAAGTCCAAATTTCAACCTGTTAAGCATCCAAAACACACTCGAGGTCCTCGGGACCTCAACCAAACATGACAACCAATCCTAAATCACCACACGAACTTAGTCAAGCCCTCAAACCACAACAAACAACGCTAAAAACACAAATCGCACTCAAATCTAAACTTAATGAACTTGAAACTTCAAATTTTCACAACCGATGCCGAAACCTATCAAAAATTCGATTTTCGTCATTTCAAGCCTAAATGTGCTACGGGCCTCAAAAATACAATCAGGACACGCCTTTAAGCCCACAATCACCCAACAGAGCTAACAAAATCGATGAAATTCCATTCCGGAGCCGTCTTCACATTGTTCCGACTACGGTCTAAATTTTAAGACTTAAGCTTCCATTTAGGGACTAAGTGTCCCAAAATACTTCAAAAACTAATATGAAACCTCTCGGCAAGTTACAATAGCAGAAATAGATACGGGGAAAGCAGTTACTGGAGGATCGGGGCTCTAATTCTCAAACGACCGGCCGGGTCGTTACACTGTCATTATCAAGAGGCTTGAAGTAGAGTTGCACGGCGTTCGCAGACCCTGAAGTCTCCTTCTTATCTGCTATACTGCTTATTTATTTCGGATAGTTGTATTTAATTTTTGACCTTGTTCGTAGTACTTTTAGCAGCTTATGTACTTGTGACACTAGTTTGTGGTTTAGACTAGAAGGTGTTGGTTTCAGATTATTATATTACAAATATTTCAGACTTATATTATTAATTTTTGCTTTTAAATTGTTAAATTGGATAACTGGTTCGCGAATGTTGGCTTGCCTAACAAGTGGATGTTAGGCGCAATCACGGCCCATGGTTGAGATTTTGGGTCGTGACGTCATGCTTATTCAAATCAAGATTAAGTTAATACAAAGGGGGTTTTCGTCGAGTTTTCTTGCTAAATAAACAAAAAATTCACTCCCTCTATTTTAATTTAAATGACACACTTTTCTTATGAGTCCGCTCCAAAAAGAATGACAAATTTCTATATTTGCAAACCATTTAACTTTGAACTTTTTGCATTACCCACATTACTCTTAATGATAAGTTTTTATAGTCACAAAAATGTCATGGCCCCTTCAAGCTTTTGCCCCTTAGGCTATTAAAACTATGTATTTTAAAAGACTTTTTTTTTCTAAACTTTGTGTGAATCAAACTACATCATCTTAGGTATGGGGGAGTAATAGGCAAATGATAGAAGCTGTCAATAAACCCTACACAAAGCTGAACCACAATACTTTCATCCATCTGGAAAATTAAATGAATAGGTTCCTTCATCCATACCAAGAGGACTATGTAGAAAACATTATACTATCTAAGATCGACCTGAGACAAAGGGAAAAGTTTCCTTATGTACATATTTGGCTCATCGCTAGGACATGTAGCATTAAATTTTTTGTCACATACTATTAGCCTATTTCCTCAAGTTTTTTTTTTCTTATTTTTTTGTCGCTAAAAGTATTTTTTTTCCAAAGCTAAGGTGTTTGACAAACTAGAAGAAAAAAAATACTTTTGAATAGAAGCAGAAGTTATTTTTGAGAAGTGAAAATATAGCTTCTTCGCAGAAGTACTTTTCTGAAAAATACTTTTGAGAAAATACATTTAGAAGCCCTTTTTAAAGTTTGGCCAAATACTAATTGCTGCTAAAAAGTATTTTCAAATTGATTAATCAAACGCAAATTGCTTCTTATTAAAAGTACTTTTTTTAAAATATTTTTTAAAATAAGCTAATTTTAGATGCTTAGACAAACAAGCTATATATCTGTACAGATGGTCTGATCCGCGATCATTCGTTGATATAATATATCGATTTTTTTTATAAGCAGTGACAAACTTCGTAACCAATCCAGACGGGTTTGTTACTTTATTTAGAGACAGAACAGAACATGCCTTTTGTTTTTGTTAATCATTTTCAAGGGTTTTAATTTTTTTATATTTAATATATATAAATAAAAATAAATTTTATATATATTTTTATTCTTAACGGGTTAACGAATTATCCGTTAAAAAAATTGAATAATCCGCCCCCAAACCGATAAGCCGTTAATAAAAAAAATTCAATCCGTTCCACGTCCGTTAAGCCGTTACCAGTAAGCCATTAAGCTTCGGTTCGGATCGGTTTTTGGTTTCGGATCGGTTTTGAACACCCCTAGACCCTTGTATATACACATATGTACACATTTAAAATTTAAACGTGCAATCTACAGTAATTTTGAGCTACTTTCACTTTTACACTGAAAACTTCACTTATATATGTTAGGCAAAATGGCCTCATGGTCACTTAAACTTATACTAGTTTGTCAACTCGGTACATAAACTTACACTTTTTTCATTTAAACACTCTTATCCTTCTCCTTCCCTTTTTTCGGAAGAAAGGTGGGATCCGGACAAAATCGACGAAACGGAAGAAATCCGAGTGAATGGAAAGGACAAAATAAAGGATAAATTCCACTCTCACCTTACAGAGACAGGCTATAACAATATTAATACTAGTAATAGTCCAATTTATGATTATGAGGATTCTTATTTGAATAATAATAACACGGGCAACCCACAAATTTTTAAATTGCAACTGTTTGATAAAAAAAATGAAAATAAAGACCTCTTCTGGGTTCAACAACCTCTTGTGAGTCTTCTTTTCGATTATAATCCATGGAATCGACCATTTTGCTACATAAAGAATAATCGATTTGAACAGGACGTAAGAACGGAAATGTCACAATATTTTTTTGACATATGTAAAAGTGATGGAAAACAAAGAATATCTTTTACATACCCGCCAAGTTTATCAACTTTTTGGAAAATGATAAAAAGAAGGATACCTCTATTGTCACTCCAAAAAACGCTCCCCAATGAACTGGACAATCAGTGGATTTCTACTAACAAAGAAAAAAGTAATAATCTGATTAAGGAATTTTTAAATCGACTAGAAGTTCTAGACAAGGAATCTTTTTCTCTCGATATACTCGAAACAAAGACTAGATTGTGTAATGATGATACTAAAAAAGAATACGTGCCTAAAATGTATGATCCTTTGTTAAATGGACCATATCGAGGAACTATCAAAAAAAAGTTTTCACCTTCAATCATAAACAAAACTTCGCTAGAAAATTTGAAAAAGAGAGTTAGAATAAATAGAATTCATACTATCTTTCTTCCGAATACTGATTACCAAGAATTTCTTAGATAAGTATTTCTTCCATCATGATATAAGTACGCAGCTATTATTGTATCGGCCCAAAACCTCGCTAATTGATCTTTACGGTACTTCCTCTATCTCTATCAATTAAAGCCTTATATCCATAGAAAAAAGTTGCTAGGCATTTTTATTTTTTCCTATTTTGACTTCTATGAAGTTTCTTTCTTTGCTACAACTGATAAAAATCGTTGGTTTAAACGATGCATATGTAGAAAGCCTATTTGGTTCTAGTAGTTACTTTACTAGATTTTTTTTTTTTTTCTTTCTATAGTGGAGATAGTTGCACATAATAACAGATCACGACCATATTATTAAAAGCTTGTGGTAAGAATGGGTTTCGTTCTAGTGCTCGAAAATAATATTCTAAAGCTTTCGTATGTTCTCCATTACTTGTGTGGATAAGCCCTATATTATAGAGTATATAACTTCGATCATAGGGATCAATTTCTAGTCACATAGCTTCATAATAATTCTGCAAAGCTTCCGCGTAATTTCCTTCGGATTGAGCCGACACCCGTTACGGTCGTCATTCAATTGAAAGAATCTCTGTTCCAGAACCGTACGTGAGATTTTCACCTCATACGGCTCCTCCCTTATGTGCATAATGAGAATAATACATAGAATCAAAAAAGATTCAACGATGAAAATATTCTCATTATGAACTCAGCAGGGCTAGTGTTTTTACAAGAAATCTCTAGCCAACCTTCCTGCAAGAGATTCTTTCTTAACATCAAGCCTATTGGGACTAGATAGAAATGATAAGATAACTCCAACAATTTCTTTGTTTTTAACGCCTCCTAATTTCCAGGAATTAGTCACTTCAATAGCCTTCGATGGTTATACGGGTATCCAAAGGACGAACGAGATGGATGTTTGTTGTCCCAACCATTCTTTTAGTCCCAAGCCCGCTAAGGGAAGGGCTGACTTAGAACAAAGTTTTCGTGTTGTTGATTCCCAGGTGTAGTGCTTCTTCCCCTATGCTGCCTATTAGCGCTAGTAGAGTAGGATTGACCCGTAATACAGAACCTCTAGGCGTAACCTTTCGCTTAATACTAGAATCGAGAATCGAAACATAGCATCTGGGGTTGCATTAATCGAGGATACACGACAGAAGGAATTGTTCTATTTCCAAACTTCACCTTCAAAAAGCGTAGATTTTTTTTTCAAAAATTTTCTCGAATCACGTGTTTTTCTCCTCGTAAGACTGAGAGAAATGAATAAATATGAAATAAAAAAAAAAAGAATCAAATCGCACCATCTCTGTAATAGGTAAATGCCTCTTTTTCTCCTGAAGTTGTCGGAATTACTCGTAATAAGATATTGGCTACAATTGAAAAGGTCTTATCAATAAAATTTCCATTTATCCGTGATCTAGGCATAGGTAGCAATCCATTCTAGAATTCTTCTCATTACCTCTCATGGGAAAAAGATCCCACAAAGAAAAGAATTGTATAGTACGAAATAACATAAAAACTTATTTTTTTTAAAGAAAAAAACAAAAGATATGAATCCTCTATTCCAATTGTTCCTTTTTGACAGGAATCGATAAGAAATAAGAAATATTTCAAGGCGATTCGATTTCATACTAATGTAGTAGTATAGGAACTATTCCGATTTCGGTGAAGTTACAAATTCGAAGAACTCGAGAAATTTTGATTGAATCATGATACAAATTACAAAGAAGAAAAAAGACCGAATAATCATTCTATGATGAAAATAGAATAACTGCCAATTTTGTGTACATAACGGGTATACACTATACAATCAAATCTAAAATTTTTTTATGAATGTCTATTCTAATAGAGGGGTAGGTGTTTGTTGTTGAGAACTCCAAAACCGAAAAGGAATTTGAAAATTTTTCTGGTATGGAATCATAGTCTATATAATTAGAATTATGATTTAAGAGTATCCATTAACTATAGTCTAAAAGATATAGACCATCAATCAGGTGATTCGTTCTAATTCATTGAATTAATCCGTTATAAAAATATCAGAAAAAGAAGGGAACGTTGTTTTTGCAAACATGAATCGAATTTTTTTTCACAATTTTTACGCAAAATTGTATCTTTATCCCGGAGCCTCGAAGGAAAGAAAAACTCGTTCTTTGCTTTGACTTTGATGAAAAATTTTCAGTTAAAATGGATTGGTCGTACCTATCCAATAATGGAATATGGATTATGACTGACTCGCTATTCACTCGGTTTTTGGGTCATAATCGTTATGTAGGAGAGATGGCCGAGTGGTTGAAGGCGTAGCATTGGAACTGCTATGTAGGCTTTTGTTTACCGAGGGTTCGAATCCCTCTCTTTCCGTACCTTCGCTTAATTCACCAATTTTACTAACAACAAGGGCTCAAATAGCAATGGATACCATTATTCCAACAGCTAGACCCTTCTTTGATCTAAAGATATAGATTCTCAATTCCTAATTGCTGTGACGCGTAAAATAGAATACTAAAAAATAATCATAATCAAAATACTGGAAAGAAAAGAGTAGACAAGGAATGAAAATAGATCCTTGGTCTATGATACAAAAATGGGGGAAATCCAGATCAAACTCAGATTTATCTTACTTAACCTTAGGTTAATTTACTTCGCCTAAAGGGAAGAAAATTTTCCGAACCCCCGGTTTCAGTCTGAGGTTTAAGTCTAACGAGAATGGATACAAATAAACACATCCAATAGAGCGTGTATGCTAATTGCACTGATGTGTACAACATATCATATGTTATACTATTTATTGCTTGACATGTGTTATTTATGGGTCCATTTTTTAAATTTATTTATCAAACTTTTATTATAATTTTTATTTTTCTTCTCCACTAAACCCACCCACCCCCCCAACAAACAATCGGTAAAAGAATTTCCGACCGAACCCCAAATCTAAAATGGTCGGCATCCCTGAGTTCTCCATAATCTCCATAATCATGTTCTTGGAGATTCATCAAGAACCTATTCTTCCATCAAATCTCAAGAACCCAAATTAAACAAGAATAATTTGAAAGTTTCCAAAAGTCTAAAACCCATAGACCCATTAGAGAGTACAAAGGTTCTGAAAAGTTATTCATTAAATAGTGGTTGGTTTAGCAGTGAAGGAGGAGATGAATTTAGTAGTGAAACAGAATATGCTTTTATCAGCTTACCTTTTGGTTGAAAAACAACTGAAATCCGTCGGAAAATCACGTTTCACGGTGTCGTATCGCCGGCTAACAGGGAATGGATGTGCTTCGCCGGAGAAGACGGATTGAATGGCCGTTTAAATGACCTCTGGCAAGTAGAATTAGCTGACATTCATTGCCGGAGATTTCTTTGAGAACACTGGACTTGGATTATAGAAGGGGGAAAAGAGCGACCTGTCACCTACATCGACTTCCTCTTTTTTCTTTTTCGTTTTCAATTTTTGGTTTTTCTCCTTTTGATTTTATTATTTTTTTAATCAAAATATTATTTTCACACATATTTTTTGTATGATTGGTACGCATTCAGTCCACATCACTTATGTCACTGTCACATAAGCACAGTCAATAGTCAAAGTAGTTCATTCGTATTTATTTCATTAAGTTGGAGTATTTAATGGGAAAAGTGTAAGTTTATATACCGGGTTAGCAAACTAGTACAAGTTTAAGTGGTCACGAGGCCATTTTGCCTATAAGTTACTCTTTGAACCCATGTAATTTTGGCTGCTCTCACCCAGCCCGATAACCTTGAGATTAGGGCTGCTTATCGGGCGGATTGAGCGGTTATTTACTCTTAAAAGTTTGGCTTATCGGTTATCGGCTTTTAAATATATTAATTCGCTAGCCACCCGATAAGATATCAGGCAGATTGGTATCAGTTTAGCTCTTATCGGGAGGTTATCGGGCGGTTTATCGGCCTAATTCAATCTATACTGCGTGCATTAATCTATATTGCGTGCATTACATTCCAAAGTAGACTACATTAATGCCTACTATTAACGCTTAACATATGCCCACTGTTAACGCCTATACATCACCGTTAGAGTCTTAAAGACACAGATGGATTCTAATTTAATCCTAGAAAACGCAATACATGAAAGACAAGTTGTAGTAGCCTCATAATGCTTACTTCAGAAATTAGCACTAATATATATTTTCATTGTTGTGTATTTTAACACAAAATTTAGTTAGACTTAATAGGAAATAAGCAAATACACCGGAAGTCATACCGAAGTATGGGAATTATGAATATCACCAATGATTTGTGATGGTTAGTTCATAGCTCTAGACTTTAATCTAGGACCATCAAAGAGACTGCATTTGAACACCCCTACTTAAGATAATGTATTAGGGTTTTCTCAAGAATTTTTGTTTAAAGAATATTTTATCTGCATTTCATTCAACATTTTGCCCCCACCAGAATGAATTGAATAATGGTGACCATCTATGATTGGGAGGTGATAATGTCCGCGCGCATGTAATGCAAATGGTTGGCCTTTGGTTCTGGACGTGTCCTTCATTAATGCCAAACTCAATATTCAATTATGTTGTATGTCTGCTAACTGTAGCATTTCTGGAAAAGAGAAGAGAAGATTTTTACATGATCCCTGTCGAAGACGACAAAAGTCTTGGACTATATATAACTCTGTCAGGAAAAATCATAGGGCCGAAGTAAAATTTTCAACCTTTAATAAGCACTTTGTACTATTGTTTCTGTTGGGTTTTTGGCTTAAAAACAGCATTAATAGAAATGGATGAAAAAAATGTAATTTTAATTTTTTTTTTTTTTTTTTTTTTTTTTTTTTTTGCAAATAAACAGTGGCCGATATTGGAGGAGGAAAAGAGATTTGATGAGCTTGTATATTGCACTTCATCTTATATTCTTCTTGTGGGAGACTAAATCCCAGTGATTGCTACTCCTATTTTGGAGACTAAAATCTTCGGATTTTCTTGTCACGACCCAAAATCAACCCGTCGTGATGACACCTATCATAGAGCTAGGCAAGCCGAGTGCTCAGACATTACCAACACTTTAAATCATTGAAAGATACACAAACAGTTAATCATAGGAAAAATCTTTAAAACAGCATAGGAAGTCATAATTCTGTACATAATCTCTCAAAAAATCGGGGTGTCACCGAGTACATGAGCATCTACATAAAGATATAGTATGGTACACCGTCTAGACAACAAAACTGAACAATAAAATGAAAGATAAGGGAGGAGAGTCAAGGTCTGCGAATGCCAAGCAGCTACCTCGATGATCTCCGAAGGTCCAGACTCTGCAACTCAGCAACCACCGTGACCGGAAGCACCTGGATCTGCACACAAGGTGCATGGTGTAGCGTGAGTACAACCAACTCAATAAGTAACAAATTAACCTTTGGACTGAAATTAGTGATGATCTCAACAGTTACAGTTCAATATAGAAATAAGAGTACATAAATGTAGGCATGGTTTCAAGTTCAACAGATAAAAACACAATACAAGTAAAATAAATCAACTCTGAATGATATGAGAGATATGGCATTTCTATGTCTACATGCCACTGTGCATGATGTATGTGATGCACTACAATGGAAGCCTCGCGTACTCACACTCTCAGAGTACTCAATCACTCAGTACTGTATATGGCCAATCCATCCCATATACATATATATATATATATATATATATATATATATATATATATCTACTAACAGTCAGTCATTAAGTACTGTATAAGGCCAATCCAGCCCAGGAAAAATTCATCCCCAAATATAACTGATTCGGGCAAGATCCATGCCCAGGGAAGATTCATCCATCAATATAAATCAACTACGCTCACTGTGGGTGTGCAGACTCCGGAAGGGCTAGTTCACCCAAGCACTATAATAAGCTATATCCAGGCATAAATAAATAAAACATACTGCGGCGTTCAACCCTATCCCATAATATCACTCACAATCAGGCCCTCGGCCTCACCCAGTCATCAATCTCTCCAGTCTCTCGGGCTCGCAATGCTCATACTAAGCGGTCGTAATCAACGATACGAGATATGACAATGTACAATAACAGAGACTGAGGTATGATATGAATGATGCATACGACTGAGTACAAGACTGCTATTAAACAATTAACTCGATAGCAAGGAACAACCACTGTGGGTCCCAACAGTACCAGCATATAGTCTAAACATGATTTCTAGCATGATTGGCAGCTCAATTACTTTATCACATGATAAAAATATAGATAACAACAAGATAAATAAACTATACAGTTCCATGGAATCGATCAAGTCACAGTTCTTACGATGCACGCCCACACGCCCTTCACCTCATCACCAATCACTTAATACATAATTCGGAATTTCATACCCTCAGTACCAAGTTTAGAAGTGTTACTTACCTCAGACCGCGCAAATCTCTACTCCAACACGCTCTTGCCTCGCGAAATGGCCTCCGAATGCCTCGAATCTAGTCACAAAAAGTTCGATATAATCACACGAGCTAAAGGAATCAATTCCATAAGAAAGTGCTAAGCTCTAAATCAAAAGTCAAAAAGTCAACTCAAAAGTCGACCCGAGGGCCCATGTCTCGGAATCAAGTATAAGTCACAAAATCCGAACACCCATTCAACCACAAGTCTAACCATACCAAAATTACTCAAATCCAATACCAAAATCTCTGTCAAAACCTCAAAATTTGGCCTAAGAACTTTCCTCCATTTTTTCCTAATTTCCACCCCAAATCACTAATTTAATGATGAAATCAAAGACATAAACATGAAAATTAACCAAAACTAGGTAAGAATCACTTACCCCAAACACCCACTTGAAAATCTCTCGAACAATCGCCTCCCACCAAGCTCCCAAAATAAAATTTGTGATATGAACTCAAACCCTCATTTTTGAAATATTTAAATTTGCCCAGGTATCCCTTCTTCACGATCGCAGGAAAAGATTCGCGATCGCAAAGCAATACCTTCACTTCCCCCAGAAACTCCTCTACGCTACCGCACAAGAACACATGCGAATGCGAAGCACAGCCTTACCAGGCTTACGTGATCGTAGACGGCCCACGCGTTTGCATAGTACAACACGTATGAACCCCAACTGCCTCACCTCCTCTTCGCGAACGTGTCCTAGCCCACGCATTCGCGATGCACTGTCTGACCAAACCTACGCGATCGCGTACCCCAACTCGCGAACGCATATGGTAAAAATACCACTGCCCCAAACAAGCCTACATAATCGCGGACCTGTCCACGGGATCACATATAAGGAATCCAGATACAGGCACCATAAATATTCAACCATAACACCAAGTCCAAGCTAACCATCCGAAACTCACCTGAGGCCCCCAACACCTCGACCAAACATACCATCAAGTCCTAAAAGATGATACAAACTTAGTCGAGCCTTCACATCACATCAAACAATATCAAAAACACGAATCGCACCCCAATTCAAGCCTAATGAAACTAAGAAAATCCAACTTCTACAAACGATGCCGAAACCTATCAAATCACGTCCGATTAACCTCAAATTTTGCACACAAGTCACAAATGACACCAAAAGCCTACTCCAACTCCCGGAACTCCAAACCGAGCCTGGTAACCACAAAGTCCACTCTTAGTCAAACTTTCGAATTTCCAACTTTTACCATTTCAAGCCTAATTCAATTACGGACCTCCAAATCACTATCCGGACACGCGTCTAAGTCCAAAATCACTCGACGAAGCTAACGGAACCATCAAAATTCCATTCCAGAGTCATTTACACATAAGTCAACATCCGGTCAACCATTTTAACTTAAGCTTTCAACCTTGAGACTAAGTGTCTCAATTCATTTCGAAACCTCTCCGGACCTGAACCGACTACCCCGACAAGTCACATAACAAATGTAAAGCATAAAATTAGCATTAAATAGAGGAATAGGTCTACAACTCTCAAAACAGCCGGCCGGGTCGTTATATTTCTATTCCATGGTTGAGATTAAAATCTAAAATATTTTGATACAACTTCAAGCGCTGGCAGTAGAATATGTTCTTCTATTTGGCCGCGCTCAGTTTGCAGCGCTTTATCAGCGAGGACGTTTCAGTATTGGCAAAATAAACTCTAGATAATGAGCATTTTGTGGTCATGGAGGCATGAAAGCACGTTGACTTCTTGTGAAAAAAATTATATTTTGAGTTGTTTGGATGATGGCTCGTACAATATTTATAACGTCATGAAAATTTTGGAAGAGTTGTGGAATGCTCTTGAAAAGAAGTACAAGACTGAAGATGCTATGTAACAATCCGACCGGTCGTTTTGAGCATTTGTATTTCGTTCGGTGGTTTTAGGTCCTGAGTAGCTTCATATGAGGTATTATGACTTTTGTATATGGCCGAATTTGATTTTTAAGTGGTTCGAGATTGATTTGGAAAAATGATTCTC